AATTATATATAGTGTCTTCCAATAATATGACAAAAGCTAGCACTTGAAAAATAAAAATACAGAAGCAAGAGCAGTTGTTGCACTGCAAAATGAACAAGGCAAGCCAGCTCTCGCTATTACACGACACCCCCTCTTGATCATATGTAACAATATTTAACATCACTTTGTATGTAAAGGGAACCACCGTTCATGAAAAGAAGACTGGTAAGAGATCATGAAAAGAAGGAACACAAGCAAAAGAGCAACTCCCCATGGAGACCCTCCCGCTCTATGAAGTGAATCTCTCTCGGGAAATGGCATGAAAATCGGGAAATTACTTGATAAGCAGTGGACAACAAGTAGTAAAACCAGAGGAGAAAGCACGAGGAGCAATTTTACCTGGTTTATCAACTCCTCAAGCTTGTTCTCATAGTTTATGTACCATGAGAAACATAGCATGGAAACGAGTATGAAGATAAAAAAGAACAAGTGAAGAGGCATGGAGAAGTAGGAAATATAGTCTAAGTAGGAGTGGTGCTTGTAGTACCTAGCCATGCTTAGAGAATACCACAAAAATCTCTTGAAAGAGATTACGGAGGAAATGTGGGGATTTATTATGTGGGAAAGATGTGACTTAAGGGAGAAGAATATTTTTTTAGTGTATTTTCTAGAGTGGACTGGATTTTGCTTCAAGAAGGAAGGTGGGCAACGACCTCGGTTTTTATAGCGAGGAGATGAGGGATTCTTTAATGATTTTTTAATATTTTGGAGATAGTGTATACCCCATACGTCCTTGCAAAGAGAGTGCTAAAACTCTCTGAACCTTCACATTAAGAATTGAAATTCTTAATGTGAAGGTTCAGAGAGTTTTCCCTTAACCCTTCACATTAAGAAATGGAATTAACCATCTAGGTGGTGGTCAAGTGGTAAGGACTTGGTGTATCTAGGTGGTGGAAACAAAGGGTTTGCTTTATCTGTGGTCTCAGGTTCGAGTTTTTGGTTTGCTCATATGATGGCCACTGGAGGCTTACATGGTCGTTAACTTCAGGGCCCGTAGGATTAGTCGTGGTGCGCGCAAGCTGACCGGACACCCACGTTAATCTAAAAAAAATGGAATTCTTTTCTCTTTTTTCTTGAATAAAAGAGTGTAAAATCTGTAGAAGGTCCACTAGGAAAAAGTGTTTTAGATCCGAAACTATAAAGCATTAGCAACATTCCAAAGCACTTGTTTTGCTATCTCTCTCGCTCTCTGTTTTATTATTATTATTATTATTATTATTATGAATGAAGAAAGAATTTTGAAGTATTTTCCCTAGCCATTATTCTTTTAAATA